ATCAGTTACCTCAAGACACATATTTCCAGGATAGGTGACTGATGAAATCCTATATTTCGCTGTTGTAGAAACTTCTGATTTGGAAATTCCTTTGAGATGTTATAATCTCTTAGAGGTGTATCATTTCTCTTAGATGAACTTCACCGAACACTCAGCCTCTCCTTGGGCATTTTTATTACCCCTTTCTCTCGTCATATTCTTTCAGCAGAATGAATGCAACAAAAAGAATCTTCTCCATTATCGTTTTTTTCTTTTCCATTTCCTGTCCTCTAATGTCTTTTCGAAATTTTCTATGGCTGATATTACTGCTCACTGACATTTCACCCGTTAATTAATTAACGCTCTGACATTAGATACGCACTTGAAATCCCACTTCGCATAAGTGTGTTCTGGGGTGAGTGCTTAAACTCACCTGTTTGTGGTTTCAGGGGTCGAATAACAGCTCCTGGCCCTGCATCTTCGCTGGTCGCTACTAGGTCCATTCCCTGCTCCACGAGCTTTATAGTACCTGTATGTGTGTGTGTGTGTGTGTGTGTGTGTGTGTGTGGTGTGTGTGTGTGTGTGTGTGTGTGTGTGTTTAGAACACTCTACCTGTCTCTCTTCTCACCTCACTTTCCGCACCTTTGTGAGCTATATTATGCAGCGCAATGCTTTCAGTAACCACTAGTTGAAAGCTTACAGAGGCCCAAAATACAGCCTAAATCTGAACTCTGTAACGCAATTTTGGTTAAGAAACAGTATAGTAATAACGGCTTTATAATATGCAAATCTGGGATAATCGGCCACAATTTCTGATTTTAATTTCAAGAAATATTTTTGGTATTTATTGATCATATATGAAATAATTGTCTCAGTTTTACGTTCGAGTATATACTGATGCATAATTTTCTGAAATGGCTCAAATCACACTCAAGAATGAACGCAAAACGTTTAGCTACAAATTAAGCGAGAAAAGGGAGAAAAAGACCTTGGAGTAACAAGCAAAGGTATGATCATAGCCTATATGTGAGCAACAAAACTATCAAAATACCAGGTTTCATAACTACACAACTTGACAAAAACATACCAATACCAAATATCCTCTCTCCAATGCACTTTTAAGATACCTGGAATATGCCATCCTGTTTTATTTTCCAAACTATACAAAAGGCGAAGATATACTGGAGAGGCTAATTGAAAGAGCTACTAGACTCGAACATTATGAATGAAGACTCGGGAACTCCACTACTTTCCTTTTAGGAAAATAGTGGAGATTGAGAAAGGATTTCTTTCAAATCTTTAAGATACTGAATGGTATTGATGTACTCAGAAAAGCTGTTCGAAGTACTGAACGAGTCAGTAACTTGAAACATTGAAACTGCAAGGAAGAAGATGCAAGACAAATGTATGCAAAGAATTTCTTGCAAACAAAATTATAGGAAGTTGAAATAAACTACTGCTAATGTTTTCAGAGACTAGACAATACAGTCATTGAGGAACCAGCTGGGGAAACACTTGCAACTCAATTAAGAACATAAGAAAGAAGGAACACTGCAAGAGGCCTAATGACCCAAGCGGAGCAGGTCCATGATCACCCCCCCCCCTCGGAAAAGTCCAATGACCCCCCGCCCCCGGATTAGTCCAGTGACCTAAACAGTCTGGTCACCTCCACTCAAGGAAGGAGCACGGCACCAGACCCAGCAGCACAAGCTAGTCAGGTCTAACTCACACCCACCCATACCCACTCATGTATTTATCTAACCTATTTTTAAAACTACACAACGTTTTAGCCTCAATAACTGTACTCGGGAGTTTGTTCAACTCATCCACAACTCTATTACCAAACCAGTGCTTTCCTATATCCTTCCTGAATCTGAATTTTTCCAACTTGAAACCATTGCTGCGAGTCCTGTCTTGGCTGGAAATTTTCAGCACGCTATTTACATCCCCTTTATTTATTCCTGTTTTCCATTTACACACCTCGTTCATATCCCCCTAATTCTACGCCTTTCGAGAGAGTGCAGATTCAGGGCCCTTAGTCTATCCTCATAGGGAAGATTTCTGATACATGGGACCATCTTTGTCATCCTCTGTACGTTTTCCAGAGCATTTATATCCATTCTGTAATACGGTGACCAGAACTGAGCAGCATAGTCTAAATGAGGCCTAACCAAGGATATATAGAGTTAAAGAACAACCTGAGGACTTCTATTATTTATACTTCTAGATATGAAGCCAAGAATTCTGTTAGCTTTATTGCGAACACTAATGCACTGTTGTCTTGGTTTTAGATTACTGCTAACCAGAACTCCTAAATCTTTTACGCAATCAGTAGTATTAAGATCTACATTACTTAGTTTATATGTGGCATGGTTATTTACCTGCCCAACATTTAGAACTTTGCATATGTCAATATTAAACTGCATCTGCCACTTTTCCGACCATTGCATCAGTCTATTCAAATCATCCTGGAGTGCTCTAGTGTCCTCATTAGAATGAACTGGACGGCCTATTTTGGTGTCATCAGCAAATTTGCTTATGTCGCTATTTATTCCCTCATCTATGTCGTTTATGTAAATTGTGAACAACAGCGGGCCCATCACTGACCCCTGAGGAACACCGCTTGTGACGTGCCCCCATTCTGATTTCTCCTCATTTATGCAAACATCTTTTTCTAATGGAAGGATTTGCTAGCCTTCAACATCTACATCTTCATTATGAAAAATTAGACACAAAAAATGCCAGATTAGTTGAACTTCTACGTATTGTCTGTAATTCTACCAATATTATTACATATATAACACTTGGGTATCTTTATTATAAGGATACGAAAGTGTTGCGTATGTGTCTAATAATCTTGTCGTTTCTCTAAACCATTTATCTCTGATTTATCTCATAAATTTATCTGTCAAGATTGCTGAGTCAGACCAAATTGATTCATGTCAGAATACTTGATAATAAATTATAATAACCAACATGTTATAGGCCGCAGTAGTCTCCAAATTTTTAGTATGGAAGGGCAAATTTGAAAAGCCAAATTTAAAGGTAGACCTAATTTCGTAATGATGGATATTAACATTACACTTATAGCTAGCCCTAATTCAGTACTGAATATATGGTCACTGTCACTAATCACACAGTCACAAATGTTTAAACTCACGAGTAACATGAGTGTTCATATCGTTTCTAACACATAGAAATTTAAATATGTATATAGAACCAATTCTAACAATGTACACATCAAGTGCAACTAATGTGACATTTATTGTGGCAACGTTTCGCTCTCCAGGAGCTTTATCAAGCCATTACAAACAATACATGGACACAGAGGGTATATAAAGGCTCAGAGTGGTACCTCACTAGTATTCACCTCACTCTGAGCCTTTATATACCCTCTGTGTCCATGTATTGTTTGTAATGGCTTGATAAAGCTCCTGGAGAGCGAAACGTTGCCACAATAAATGTCACATTAGTTGCACTTGTGTCCTTTTACTTTACATATTGTCGGTAATTCTACCAACTTTATTACAATGTACACATCACCCCGGTGTAGGACGTGCTACCATATGCTGCTAGGATAAACCGGCACCGACCAGAAGTGACAGGTGGTTGTAAGGTGGCGATAAGGTTTTGGTGTAAAATGGCTTTAAATATTTTGTAATTGCTGACACTGCTGTGTGGAACCTACATAAAAGTGAATTAATAATTTCATGTGAGGACCATATCATTTTTTAGAAGGGCCACATGCGACCCGAGGACAGCAGGTTGGGGGGACCCCTGGCAATAGGGTATTGCGAGGTGTTGCTCACTACATCTCTCACTCATTAAATCCATGCAATACGCACTAAAACCTTCACATACATTCAACAGATGGTGTAATATAAAGTCAATAGATTCCTGCTGTTTATAGTATATCTTTTTTCCTTTTGTGACGGCAGTGGCCAGAGGAAGTGGAGAGAGCTTTTGCATTTGTATCATAAACTCAGACACCTAGATATTACACGATAGTCCTTGAGTAGTTGGCGGTTTTTCTCTGCACATTAGACTCGGTATTGACTTCTAAGTGCTCTGATGTCTGTTTTTTCCCATATATGCTCTCTGTCTGTCTGTCTGCCTGTCTCTGTCTTTGTCTGTCTGTCTGTCTGTCTCTCTCTCTCTCTCTCTCTCTCTCTCTCTCTCTCTCTCTCTCTCTCTCTCTCTCTCTCTCTCTCTCTCTCTCTCTCTCTCTCTCTCTCTCTCGTCCCATTAATTCTGTTGAATCCTCTGTGTATTATAGCCTTGAGACTCCTTGTACACAGTCCAGTTATAATTGATTCCTTTGAGAACATGTCTTGGCTGTCTCATCAGGTGAATCATATATTTGAAAGTCAGTGTAAGAGGCGTCCACAGAAAGGGAGCTTAAACTCCAATATATATAATTTAGTCATATTTGTGGCTGGCAACCATATCACTAAACACAACCATATCTGAGTATGTTTTGTGTTTAGTGATAACAGCTGCATACATTAAGATGTCAGGAATACATCTGTGCTTTATTTGTTTATATGAAGTGTCAAGCACATGAGGGTCATTTAGAAAGGCTCGATTCTCCGTTTGTTAAAAGTAAGGCAGACGCGTATGTATGTATGTGTCAACTTTTATGATTTGTGTGCGAAAAGTATGGGTGTGTGAGTTACGTTAATTTAGGTAAGGTTTGTCAGGAAACAGAACAAGTGCCATATGATCTGCAGCTGAAGATTTTTGGTCATCTGACCGAGACCTTCCACTCGCTACTGGTCTACCCCTTTTAAAAATTATGGTTATAATTATAACCATTAAGTTGCATTAGTTGTACGAATTATGCTTCTACAAGAGTTCCCTGAACCAATTATTCCCTTCATGGTAAAGGCATATTTCTACTTAATGTTCTCTAAGTTATCCTCCCAGTCAATAGTTTGCCCAGCCATCTTGCCTTTCATCTCTTATCTTTTCCCAGTCTTTTGCTCGTGGCCTTCCTCCTGACGAGGCCTCTTTCTCCGCAGATGAGTCTGCTAACGGAGCTGCGAGAGGTGGTGCGACCTGAGGACCAGGAGAAGTTCGACGCGGCCGTCTTCCGCAGCGCCAGAGTACAGGAGAAGGTGAGGAGGAGAACCTAGGGCTCACACACACAAACTGTGACAAAGTCAACACCAGGCGGTGTGTGTGACATGGTCACTACCAGGCGGTGTCTGTGGCAAAGTCAACACTTGTGGTGTATGTCTCTTTGTCTCTCGCCCCTGTGGTGTACCGAGAGCACAGCTGTGGCGTCAGATCGTTAGTATCTCCTCTTACTGCAACGCTGAGAGACAGATCTGATTAAGCGTCTCTCTGGCAAATGAAGAGAGACGATTAAAAATGCCTCTCCGAATCTCATTCTGGTGTAAAGACTCTTGGTAGTATCCCGAAGAGGGTCACGATGCGATGTCTCTCATGCCTTGGTTCGAGATGAAGACACGGTAGTGAGTTAATTAAAGGTAGCAAGATGCTGCTTCTCGCGTAGGGTGGTATAACGAACACTCATCGCGTCTCACTTGGTCGTAGTGATTAACATGGCAACCAGTCTCTCTGAGCCACGGTGTGACTTACATGATGAATTTCTCTCACTAGGAGATGCTTATAGATGTCTCGTTCTCTAACAATGTGTGAAAAATGAGAGAGACGACTATTTCTTTGCGGTGACCCAAGCAGCTGCCTCGCAAACCAATTGAAAATGGCAAAAACTATGTTACGTGGCAAAATTTAATATTAATGGAAAAAAATTATGTAATTATATTCATAAGGATGTTACACATTATTACAAATCAGTTTGCTACAATGAATAAGCTTACTAATTTAGGGCATTAAGCATATGGCGTGAAACCCATTAGAAATTTGTCTCAAGCTACACATAAACATCATACAAATTTTCACGTTGCAAATAACAAAGAAGATAAACGGATAAATTAAAAAAAAATATGGCCTAGAATATTTAAGACTAACAAATAGGCATGTATATATATATATATATATATTAATATATATATATATATATATATATATATATTATATATATATATATATATATATATATATATATATATATATATATATTTTATAATATATATATAATCAATATTTGTATAAATTATATATATATATATATATAATATATAGTTGTATTATTATACATGAATATATTATATATTATATATATATATATATATATAATATATATATATTATATATATATATATATATATATATATATATAATTATAGCTATAAATGCTGTAACTTTTTGCCAGAGACAAACATTACAGATCCAGTGGTGTTGTGAAGAAGCAGTTATGAGGGGATTTACGCTGACTTTAGAGTACTATAGTTGTATCTGTGTTATACACTGAGCAACGTCTTTCAAAGCCAAAACACAACACTATGCAACTCATGTACTGTGTAAACATACCCTAGAAAACACACAATACGAAGTCCTTCAGCGGTATAACTATGTAAACACGAAGGCTGTTGGCGTTGTTATATGGACTATCGGCTGCTACCTCTCTCTGCCTGTGACAGGGGTCATTCTTGGAGTTGATTCTGGGCTGTTCCTTGTTGCTAAAATATAGCACTAGGCCTACCTATATACTCTCGCACAAAGCCTCTGAACGCATACAAGAATTATCCAGATGTTGTAGTGAAGGTTAGGTGAGCTAGATTTAGTAGTATGCATGTGTGTGAGTGAGCAGGACTGCAACACTGCAAGGGGCCCTCTAGTTAGCTAAATGTTGGTTTTAATATATGCTTTATTAATAATGTAATAATTATATAAATATGTCACCAAACAAGCCAAATTCCTCTGCATATATATATATATATATATATATATATATATATATATATATATATTATATATATATATATATATATATATATATATATATTATATATATATGTCGTGTCGAATATGTAAAACTGGTCAGTTAGCAAGAACTCATTTAAAATTAATTCCTTTCTGAAATTTTTTTCTTTTATACGTTTAAAGTTATATTTTTTTCATTAATGTTAATGTAAAAATTTATAATTTTGCACCAAAAGAATCTTAGAAAACTTACTAACCTTATTAATAACAAGAGCAATTTATTTTAGCCTAACCCAACTAAATATATTTTAGATTCGTTTACAATAATTTAATATTAAACACAACATTATATATTATATATATATATATATATTATATATATATATATATATATATATATATATATATATATATATATATATATATATAATGTCATACCGAATAGGTAAAACATGCGATCTTGGCTTAAATAGCAACGCTCTTCTTGCCGAATAAGGTAAGCGAAAATTTATGCATGCAATAATTTTGGAAAAATCATTATGAACCTAACGAAAATATATATTTCATTGTATTTGTTTATTATTAAAGTATAACAAACTTATCTAAAATGTATTTAGTTGGATTAGACTAAATTAAATTGCGCTTGTTATAATAAGGTTAGGTAAATTTTCTAAGGTTCTTCTCGTACAAAATTATTAATTTATACATTAACATAAATGAAAAAAAATATATCTTTAAACGAATAAGAGAAAACCTTAGAAAGGATTTAATTTCAAAGGAGTTTCAAATCGACACCATGCCTAACCCTTCTAGGGTAGGGTAGGTGCCTGAGTCCGAGCCTTTAGCTCATAAGACTGTCATTCCCATTAGCCCCCTTGAGGCGGGGATGGCAGACCAGAGAGGCCTAGCTTGTGGCTAGGCCTGGGGACAGTTGGTCCCAAAGATGAGGAGGTACTTGTGCCTCCTCCCATGGGAGACTTAGGTCTCAGACACTCCCTAAAGAGGGAGCCAAAGCCGGGCCACCACTTGGAAAAGGCCCGGGCCGGGAGAATACCGGTGAATCTTTAATAATAATAATAAAAGGAGTTTTTGTTAATTGACCAGTGTTACCTATTCGGCACGAGACGCTGCCTCGCTGGGAGACGGCATATACATACATATATATATATATATATATATATATATATATATATATTATATATATATATATATTGTCGTGCCGAATAGGCAGAACTTGCGATCTTGGCTTAAAAAGCAACGCTCATCTTGCCATATAGGACAAGTGAAAATTTGTGTATGCAATAATTTCGCCAAAATCATTCTGAACCTAACGAAAAAAATATATTTGATTGTGTTTGTTTAGTACTAAATTATTGTAAACGTATTTAAAATATATTTAGTTGGGTTAGGCTAAAATAAATTGCGCTTGTTATAATAAGGTTAAGTAAGTTTTCTAAGATTCTTTTGGTGCAAAATTAAATTTTTTTACATTAATATTAATGAAAAAAATATATCTTTAAATGTATAAGAGAAAATTTCAGAACGGACTTAATTTTAAATGAGTTCTTGCGAATTGACCAGTTTTTGCATATTCGGCACGACATATATATATATATATATATATATATATATATATTTATATATATATATATATATATATTATATATATATATATTATATATATATGCGCAATACAAGCCACGGGGGGAAGGAGTGGAAATCTTTAGCTCGAGTACTTTCACACTTCTCAGCTCATCATCAGGAGCTGTGAAATGTTGCAAGGGCAGCAACAGGAGAAATAGGGTAAATTTTTCAGAGTATGGTAGCGCTGTGGCACCAGTCAACACGCTACCATTCGTCTGAGAAAACTTCCCCTCAGTGTTATTGTTACTACTCTTGCAACATTGCATAGCTCCTGATTACGCATGGAGACATGGTAAAGACCTAGAGCTGAAGATTATAAACTCCGCCGAATAAGTTAAAATGAGCAATTAGCAAGAACTCATTTAAAATAAGTCATTTTTTAAATTTTCTCTTATACGTTTAAAGATATATATATTTTTTAATTTATGATAATTTAAAAATTAAAAATTCTGTACCAAAAGAACTTTAGAAAACTTACCTATCCTTATTATAACAAGCGCAATTTAACTTAGCCTAATGTAAATAGATGTATTTTAGATAAGTTTACAATTTAATAAACAAACACAATGAAATATATTTTTTCGTTAAGTTCAGTGATTTTTGCGAAGTTATTTCATACACAATTTTTTCCTTGCAAGAAGAGCGTTGCTATTTAAGCCAGAATCGCAAGTTTTACCTATTCGGCACCAAACACACACACACACTTGTGTGTGTGTGTGTGTGTGTGTGTGTGTGCAAAATATCCACAGTGAAAAAATAGTGAATTTCCAAGTGCTTTCGTGATTTATCTCATTATCAATGAATAGTAAAACTAACAAGAGAGCAGAAGACTTAGCATTTCTTGAAAAACATTCATTTTTTAGTTAAAATATGCACTGACAAAGTACATTACAAAAATCTCATAATTTAGCTTTTAGCATAAAATTCAATTGCAGCAGTAATTCTGATTAAAAGTGAGAAAATCTATGAATTTTAGCTAAAAAAAAAAAAAAGAGATTTTACCTCGAATATGACCTCAGGACTCGTCCCACCGAGCGTGGGAGTGAATGAAGATCTGGTCAGGTCACATGTCTCAGGCATAACTTAAATTTCTCGCAAATTATGTTTATTACAGATGAATCTAATTTATATATCCCTGAACTAATATTCATATTGAAATCAATAATTTTTTTTTATAAAACTTGATTCAAGTATATTTCAAGAATGGACCTGTTTGATACAACTTTCTCAGCCTTTGGAAAATCAATTGGGTGGATAAAATCTTTCACATGAGTAAACAAAGCATTAGATTCTTGAACTAAAATTATAACAACGTAAATATAGCATTAGAACTGGACAAGAATCTGATACTTTTGATTCGTGGGAGATATTTTACCGATACAATTAATTTTCCAGAAGCTGAGAAAATCGTATTAAGCAAGTACATGGTTGAAAGAAATATAACTGAATTAAATTTCATCAGAAATAGTACTGATTTCAATATGAATATTAGTTTAGGGTTATATAAATTTATTTCGCTTATAATAAATAGAATTTGCAAGGATTTTAAGCTATGCCTGGCTAGTCAAACGTAAAAAAAAAACTTATTTGACAAGTCTTCTGACCAGATCTTCACTACACT